ACACCAACGACAACGACGACACCGACGACACGCACGACACACGACACAGACACGACACACTACACGACACACACACACACACACACACACACACACGACACACACACACACACACACACACACACACACACACACACGACACACACACACACACACACACACACACACACACACACACACATACACACACACACACGCACGCACGCACGCACACACACACACACACACACACACACATGTACACGCACACGCACACGCACACGCACACACACACTCTCTCCTTCTCTCTCTCTCTCTCCCGCTCTCTCTCTCTCTCTCGCTCTTACTTCCCCCACCACCAATCCACCCAGCCACCCACCCACCCACACACTTACTCACTCACGACACGCACGCACGCGCACAAATAAAAACGTGCATGTATATATATATCTAAAACAACGCCCACGCGGGCAAGGTGAGTGACATCTACCGCGCGCATCTCTCTCTAAATTCGAAATTCACATATCATGTTATTACCTTTTGCTGTCGTTTCATTATGTGCCGTAATACTGCTTGACATTGTGTTGCGTTGATCATTCGATGACCCTGCAGGCAGCGTGGCGGACGCATGGTTGCGCCTGCCTAGCTTTCTGTGGTGACGCCTCGGCAAGGAGCAGCCAACTCCAAGAAGGGCGCTAGCCACCGCCACTGCAGCAAGCACTACCGCGATCTTTCTCATGACTCGCACTCATCCACGATACTTCGTCGGCATCTGCACCGAGCCCCGGACGATAGACGGAGAAACGGCAGACGGAGGTTAAAGCCGCTAGGAAACGGATAGACGCTACTTTTAGCGCGTTGTCTCATGCGTTTTTCTGCGATGTTGTCTGGTCAACCGTATACAGAACATTGCTGAATCTACTCTGCACATTCCAACCCGCTGTGGCGCCAGGTGCCACATACGACCAATCACGTCTCTACCCTGACGACTTGCCCCCCGGCATGACGGGAGCTGATGCGTAGCCATCAGCTTTAATGGTGCATTGTTGCTATTGTAAGCCAGCAAATTTTCATTTATTGTAATTATTGAACACCAAGTCCTTATTAAAAGTCTCAGACAGGTTAGAGACGAGTAAGTGGCACGCGCAGGACAACATGCGATTGCGAATTCTGTGCTCACGCACGCCCGAACGCTTCCTGCGCGCACGCACGCACGCACGCCTCCTGCGCGCACGCACGCACGCACGCACGCCGCGCACACGCACGCACGCACGCCGCGCACACGTACACATGCGCGCCGTACACAGCACGCCTCACGCTCACTGCACGCACGCCCACATGCACGCACGCGCGTTATCCGTATGCGATGGTGGAACAGATAAAACACAATAGCTAAATAGAATGAGAATAATAATTAAGTAGAACAACGTGATTAATTAGTGCGAATAGGTAATGAGCAAAAGAAAGAGATGAGATTTCTCTCTCCCTTCTCTCTTTTGCTACAACTATCTATCTATCTATCTATCTATCTATCTATCTATCTATCTATTTATCTATCTATCTATCTATCTATCTATCTATCTATCTATCTATCTATCTATCTATCTATCTATATATCTATCTATTTATCTATCTATTTATCTATCTATCTATCTATCTATCTATCTATCTATCTTTCTATCTATCTATCTATCTATCTATCTATCTATCTATCTATCTATCTATCTATCTATCCATCTATCTATCTATCTATCTATCTATCTATCTATCTATCTATCTATCTATCTATCTATCTATCTATCTATCTATCTATCTATCGTATCTTCTATCTATCTATCTATCTATCTATCTATCTATCTATCTATCTATCTATCTATCTATCTATCTATCTATCTATCTATCTATCTATCTATCTATCTATCTATCTATCTATCTATCTATCTATCTATCTATCTATCTATCTATCTATCTATCTATCTATCTATCTATCTATCTATCTATCTATCTATCTATCTATCTATCTATCTATCTATCTATCTATCTCTATCTACCTACCTATCTATCTATCCATCCATCCATCTATATCTATCTATCTATCTACCTACCTATCTAACTAACTATATATATAATTATATACACACACACACACACAGGCACGCACGTTTGGATGTAGTAACGTTGTTATTTCAGAATAGCTTGCTCTTTTTACCATCGTCGTTTACGTAGAGTCGGTCTAACCCGGAATTTAAAATAAGTGAAATGACTACACACGTACAGATTTCAACAGGATATCACGAGCAGAAGTAATCTGCATGGCCGTCACTGCACATGCGCACATCAGTCGAACACACGGGTGAGTAAAACCACACACACATTATCAGGCAGTTACCGACCAATTCTAAGGCAAGATTCCTGCGTGTATCATCGCTTCATTTCGTATTTAGTCTACAGCCAAAGACTCCTAAATTCGAATTAATATTTTATACTACAAGTGCCACTAGATGGCACCACGAACCAATTCGAAGGCGCGATGTAAAACTCGGGCTAGTTATATGGTTTGTAAACTGTAAAATTCAAAGAGGCGTACTCGTCTCGTTAAAGATATGGGGCGATCGTTCGCCACGCGTGCTGATTGCCTACTTAAAATTCAGTGTCTGGGTGCGCCCCCTTTTACTGCCGGTTCACCAGCATTTCCTATGCAACAACGGGGTAGAGAGGTTTTCACAGACCCTGGATATTCCAGTGAGATAACGGACATAACAGACGCGCTCATCGATTATTAATATTATATAAAATCACAGCGTGCTTGCTAACAGTCGAAGTGTCTGCTAACACTCGGTTCTCACCAGTACTCCACCCTTTCACCCCCCTCCCCCCCAACATGCTCGCCGCGTATAATTTACATGCATGTCACCATTGTGCTAATCTCACAAAGAAGTGTTTCTGGCAATTGCTTCTTAGATAATAAACCTGGAACGATGATTCGTGTGGCTGCAATAGATAGTCTGTCTTATCTGGCTGCGTATGGCATGAATTAGGATGAAGAGTGGGTGCCTATAGTGCCTACTGAAATTAATTTATGAAATTTAATTTTTTAAACCTCCAATCTGTGGTCTCCAGTTGTGCGTGTACTATTTCTTTATCCGTAAATGTGCATGAGATCCGAGAATAAGCGATAGCTTTTAAAAAAACAACGTCGGGAAGCATGTCGCGATAACCGCACGAAACACAGCTGAATCACATTCCTATCTAGCTTTAATGATGTCATTCAGTAAGAAACCGTCAAAATAATTATTTCCGGCTCTCGTAATTTAAATTAGCGTTTTATGAAGGATTTAATAATGGCCTCGAAACCTTTGTATTTGTATGCGGATTCTTTTCCATGTCTGTCGGCAGATATCGAAACGATACTGAGTCATCACACTTTACCTGAGTAACTGAGGTTGGACCAATATTAAATCATCTATAGGATTCTATACCCAATTATTGAATTTCAGGAACCGTAAATAACTATTGTGAAGATTACAATTGCAGCACGACATCATTAAAGCTAGACAGTCATGAGTCCAGCTCTGTTCCACGTGATCAGAAGTAGATAACAGGAAAGTTCCGATGTGATGTTAGTCTATGACTTCCCACATATATCCTCTGTATACATATTTAATAGTAGTGACGTGTCATACCCTATTCACTTTAATAGTTGCCGAAATTCTGTGATCAGTCTATTGTAAACTCCACATTGGATCGTGTTTGTTTTATACAATTACATGGTATTTTAATTATTATAATTAAAAATACCATAATTGCGTAACTCTTTAACGTAACAGTATCACATAATTGCGAGGTTTTATGCGTATAATGGTAATATTTGCATGTGTTTTAGTCACGGTATTTTTACCTATCTTCCTCTTTCGCGTTATACCGCTATACGCATAGATCTAACACAACATTTCAATTCAGCTAAATACACAAACTGGTACACTAATGATAGAACACTACACATATTATTTGTATTGCGGCATTATTGTATTTCTCTCAGATTTAAGACCGAAGAAACCGAAAAATTAATACACTACATTTGAAAACGAAATTATACAGCTATATTGATGCTAAAAAGCTCAATAAGTCTGTCGCACGGCACTTTTATGGATTATTAATAAGATACTATCTCGACCAGTGTAGCCTCCTTCCCACTCTTGCGCTAATCCGCTGATAGCAGTGTGGCTCGAAGGTAGGATATAAGCCTGGCTGCGTCCCAGGACGCGACGCGACCGCCCGCTCCGCCTTCGTCGCTCGCTCGCGCCCGACGACTAGCACTCGTCTCGTCTGTGCCACGGGCGCGTGCGACGTACCAACCGCTAATCGTCGCTGTACTGCGGTGTCGGCGCGAACCGTCGCGTCGGCAGCGGGGCGCGTGCGGCGGAGCGTGCGTGAGCAAGCATGAGCCCGAGAACGACGTCGTCGGGGACGTCGTTGCCGTCGTTGGTCCGCGTCGTCTGCGCGCGGCACGCGTCGTCCCGTCGTCGTACCCGACGCCAGTGGTCGCGGTTTATGCTCACCGTCGCCAGCGCCGCACGCCGTCGTCCGCAGCGGCGGCAGCAGTAGCGGCAAGCGGCGGTGACAGTGACCGGGTCAATCAGCGGGCGTGACATGTGGCGGCATTAGTGGCGACAGTAAGTGGCCTGTGACAGTAGCGGCAGGCCAGTGCCGTGACAGTACGGCACCAGCACAGTGGGCCGTGACAGTGGGAGTCATCAGCGGCCGTGACAGTGGCGACGCAATGGCGCAGTAGTGCCGTGACATGGCGGTATCAGGGCCGTCGGACAGTGGCGGCACAGTAGGCCGGGACAGTGCGGCAGTAGTGCCGTGGACCAGTGACGTATCAGCTGGCACGTGACAGTGGCGGCATCAGTGGCCGTAGACAGTGGCGGCATCAGTGGCCGTGACAGTGGCGGCAGTCATCATGGCCGTACCAAGTGCGCAATCAGTGCCGTGACAGTGGCGGGCATCAGTCGGCGCGTGACATGGCGGCAGTATCAGTTGCCGTGACAAGGGCGGCGAGTAGTGCCGTGACAGTGGCGGTACAGTTGCTCCGTGAACAGTAGCGGTATCAGTGGCCGGACAGTGGCGCCTCAGTGGACGCGACAGTGGCGCAAGTAGTGCCGGACAGGGACGGTATCATGGCCGTGACAGTGCGCAAAATCGTGGCCGGGACAGTGCGGCATCAGTGGGCCGTGACAGTGGCGCAGTAATCAAGTGGCCGTGACGTGCGCATCAGTGGCCGTGACAGTGCGGCATCAGTGCCGTGACAGTGGCGGGCAGTATCAGTGGCCGTGACAGTGGCGAGTAGTGCCGTGACAGTGGCGGTAAATCAGTGCCGTGACAGTGACGGTATCAGTGGCCGTGAACAGTGGCGGGTATCAGCTGGCCGTGACAGTGCGGCAGTAGTGGCTTGTGACATGGCGGTATAGCGCGTGACAGTGGGCGGCATCAGTGGCCGCGACAGTGGCGGCATGCAGTGGGCCGTGACAGTGCGGCAGTAGCATGCCGTGACAGTGGGCGGTATCAAGTCGCCGGACAGGACGGCAAATCAAGTGGCCCGTGACTAGTGACGGCATCAGTGCCGGTGACAGTGGCGGCAGTATCAGTGGCCCGTGACAGTGGCGGCATAAGTGGCCGGACAGGGCGGTATTCCATCGCAGCGGCCCTGACAGTGGCGATCAGCTGGCCGTGCAGTGGCGGCCATCAGTGCCGTGACAGTGGCGGCAGTAGTGCCGTGACAGTGGCGGCAGTACAGTGGCCGGTGAACAGTGGCGGCATAGTGGCCGTTGACAGTTGGCGGTATCATGGCCGTGACAGTGGCGCAGTAATCAGTGGCGCGGACAGTGGCGGCATCAGCGGCCGTGACCGTGGCGGTAATCCAGTGCCGTGACAGTGACGCATCAGCGGCCGTGACAGTGGCGCAGTATCAGTGGCCGTGACAGTGGCGGCAGGAGTGGCCGTGACGTGCGGTAATCAAGCGGCCGTGACAAGTGCGCGGCCAGTAATCAGTTGGCCGTGACAGTGCGGGCAGTAGTGGCCGTGACAGTGACGCGAATCAGCGGCCAGTGACAGTGCGGCATCAGTGGCCGTGACAGTGACGGCATCAGTGGCCGTCGACAGTGAACGGCATTCAGCGCCGTGACAGTGGCGGCATCAGTGCCGTGACATGTACGGCAGTATCAGTGGCCCGTGACAGTGGCGGCAGTTAGTGCCGTGACAGTGACGGCATCAGGGCCGTGACAGTGACGGGCATCAGTGGTCCGTGACAGTGGCGCAGTATCAGTGGCCGTGAAAGTGGCGGCAGTAGGGCCAGTGACAGTGGCGGTAATCACGGCCAGTACAGTGGCGGCATCAGTGCCGTGACAGTGGCGGCATCAGTGCCGTACATGGCGCAGTAAGAGGCCGTGACAGTGCGCGCCAAGTATCAGTGGCGTGAAACCCCCAAAAGTGGCGGCAGTAGTGGCCGTGACAGTGCGGTATCAGTGCCGGACAGTGGCCGCATATCAGTGCCGTGACCAGTGGCGGCATCAGCGGCCGTGAAGCGGGCGGTATCAGTGGCCGTGATCAGGATCGGCATCAGCGGCCGTGACAGTGGCGGCAGTATCAGTGCCGTGACAGTGCGGCCAGTAGTGGCCGTGGACAGATGCGCGTATCAGCGGCCGTGACAGTGCGGCAAGTATCAGTGGCCGTGAACATGCGGCAGTAGTGGCCGTGACAGTGACGGCATCAGCGTCCGTGACAGTGGCGGCATCAGTGGCCGTGACAGTGACGCATCAAGTGGCCGTGACAGTGACGGCATCAGTGGCCGTGACAGTGCGGTATCAGTGGCCGTGACAAATGGCGGTATCAGTGGCCCGGACAGTGGCGGTATCAAGCGCCGTGACAGTGGCGCAATCAGTGGCCGTGACAGTGACGTAAGTGGCGCGTGACAGCTTGCGTAGCAGTGGCCGCGACAGTGACGGCATCACCGTGGCCGTGACAGTGGCGGCATTCAGCGCCGTGACAGTAATCGGCAGTGTGGCCGTGACAGTGGGCGGCATCAAGCCGGCCGTGACAAGTGACGGCATCAGTGGCCGGTGACAGTGGCGGTATCAGTGGCCGGACAGGGCAGCACAGTGGCGGCATCAGTAGCCGTGACAGTGGCAGCGACGTGGCAGCATCAGCGGCACGACATGGCGGTGCGAATATCAGTAAATTTGTCGGATGCATCTGGCAGAAGCGTCCCAACCGGCGACCAGCGGCGACAGTGGCAGCATCAACTGGGCAGCGACAGCATCATTAATCGCGCGCGCGACGGCGCCGCGGCAGTGGCAGCATCAGCGGCAGCGACAGCATCATATCGCGGCGACGGCCGGGCGGGCGGCAGTGGCACATCAGCGGCGGCGACGACCTCCGCCCGCCTCTGCAAGCAGCTTCTCGGCCTGCTCTCTTAAGCAACAGTCAGCGGGCGCAGCGCTCGCCGCGATGGCGCGACGCCCTCCTCGGGCTCCCTCCACCGCTGCAGTGAGAATGCCCGACATCAGTCACCGTCGTCTGCTACAGTCTTGTCGCTATCCGTCATGGCAATATTTTAGCATCAAAGATAAAGAGTTTTTCGTTCATGTCAATTAGAAATCAGGGTTCACTGCAGATAGTTGGACGGGGCACACGCGCAAAGTTTGCTTCCAAAAAAGCGGCTTCATGCAGACGCTTAATTATCAGCAATTTTTTACGACAGGACAAACAGAGACATGTATGTACTGTACCCGGGTTTATATGCGAAGCGCACGAGCAAACTAGGGTAGAGTAGCAACGACTGTTCATTGCGTGCAACACACTCGTCAAATGTTCGAGATAGTCCGGGCGACAAGAAAGGAAGGTGAACCACGTTATATTCCCTCTGTGCCGTGTTTACACTACAGCGAATCCCCGTAGTCCTGCGGTGACCACCGCTCGCCGAGCGCATCCCTCCGCTCTCGCTCGCGCGGCTGCACGATGGCGCTAATGTCTTTCAACGCCTGGCGCCCTCTGGGGAACTCTGGCCGCCGTCTCGGCGCGCTTCTGCAGATGCGGCTGTGAGCGTCCGGCAGCCGACTGCACCTCTGCAACGAACTCGTGCGTTCAGTGCGGCGC